TAACATTCCCATAATGTTTGCAAAATGATACAATGTAACGTTCCCTTAATGTTGTCTGTAACATTCACACAACCAAGAAACAAAAGCTGGAGGATTTAGAGAAGATTCAGAAGTAGTGTTTTCATAAATATTAACGCTAGCAAACTCTTTTTAGAACATATTTCGTTAGCTGGATGTGAGTCGAGTTGTTTGGTAAGTTGTTGTGTTTCAGATAGGATGCTGTCTTTAAAGACAGAAAATCAGGTTTTCTGTGTTTGTGTCTCTTGTGTTGCTGTTACACGTGTTGTTTTCCACTAATCGAGCTGATTTTTGTTCAGCATCCTCTTTGAACAGTCTTCTGATCTAATCAGACGCTCCCAAATGATGTCTCCAAACACAATCGCACGCACCGCTATAAAACTACAATCACATGTCCTGAAGCTGTCATCGACTTCAATTGAGTTTGATCTTCAACCCTGAATGCAAAGCAAAGGTTTATTGCTGTTTTCATTGCAGTTGTTTGCTGCTCTTCCGGCCTGATGTCGGAGGTTCGTGACATAAAACAGCAGCGTAACGTCTTTAGAGGGATATTGAAGCTGTTCTTCAGAAATGACAGCTTAAACATGAAAGCGAGGTCAGATGCACATGTCGCAGAGACAGAGTTATTGTATTAGGTGTTTCTTTAAACACATTCACTTTTATATCACATATTTTATTATGATTTTTATTAAAACTTCCAGATTTCCACCTTTTTCTCTGTTATATGATCACATTAAAAGGTATTTTTTGTATGTAAAAATAGATTTTTTTTTTCACAATCCCAGACCTAAACTTTGAATCTTAAATAATAAATAAATAAATAAAATAATAATATAAAATTTTTCTTTATATTATTTTATTTGTATTATTTTTTTTATTTTTTTTATATATTATTTCATATTATTATAATTACTGTATTATTTTTAAACTAAAATAATTCAAACAATGAGTGAAATAAATAAGCTATCTTAATGTTTGTTGTTTGGAAATGATTTCTGTCAGTATTGTCAAAATTATGTCTTCCAATTTTCCTGCTTCTTACTAATTTTACTACTTTACTCTGTCTAGACAACGGTGTCAATAAAGAGTTTGAGATGAAATATTAGACATGGTGTGTGGAGAAAACTGACAAATAAAGGTATATATATATTTTTTTTATTGTTTATTCTTCTTCTTTTTTTTTTTTGCACAATTTTCAGTCTGTTTTTTTTTCCGGTTGTGAAAAACACGTGTAAATATTGTGTGTACTTAGGATCCATAACACAAAAAAGACCTAAAGACCTTATGCTATGAAATATATTTTTAGTTGTAAATAAAACGAAGATTATTGAAGTATATTACAGAAGAAGATACTACTTTTCTACTTCGCAATTTCAGATTTAATTCAGTGTCTTGCCGTTTCTTTGTAATTATTTGTGAAGCTTACTATCAATTTCTGAATCTTACATTTTTTTTATGAAATATTGAAATGAAAAATATTATGTAATGTTTGTTATATATATGAGAGTTGGCTGCTATTTGTCTCTTTTAAAATACATTGATCTTGCCATGAAAACAGCCATAGATGCTGGTTTGGCAATAAAAGCAAACAAATAAATAAATAAATAAAAAGATAATAATAATAAACCAATTTGGTGCAAAGTTATAGTGTAGCAGTAATTAGTGATTCTTTAAAATCTCTACTTAAGAAATTGTTAGGGATGATTCAGAGAAAAGATTATTTTATCAAAAAATATTTATTGTCAGTTTGTTTCTGTTTATTGATTTGTTTATTATTATTATTATTAGATAAATAATATTTAGCATCCTATAGAAAACCAAGCCTGTTTTGAGGACATTCACTTTTTTTTAAATTAAATATATGTTTTATTTATTTTTAAATATTACATTTAATTGTAATGCACGTATTTAGACTGATGAATATTGTATATTGTGGATATTGATATATAAATTAAATAGAGAAAGTTGTGCTCTAAGACAGTTTACACAGCCCATAGAGACACCCATCAGCGTGTTTCAGAAAAAAGCCAAATTAAATTTACTCCATTGATCTGCCAGATAAAACATCCTTCATTCTCTCTGCTTCTTTCCTTGCTTTCTCTCAGTCTCTCTCTCTCTCTCTCTCTCTCTCTTATGTAAAACATACTTTTACATATATGGAAATGTAATATATGTACTTATATCGCATTTGCATATGAGTTGTATGCATCCCGTGCAGTGAATGCAATCCCAATTATTAATTAGGCAAATTAAACTTATACTATTTTACCTGATATCTGTGCTTTTATGGTTATTAGAGTTATTACAGTTTAACAGTATGCCACCTCTATTGCAAACAGCTGTCCAGTTGTCAGAACGTTCTGGCAAAGTTCTCTAAAAAAGTTATGATCAAACGTTCTTCCAGTAATGTTAATAGAAGTGATCTGATCTTTAATAACGTTCTCTAAACATTAGCACAAAAGCATTATTTATACAGCGCCTATGGAAACATTTTAGTTGCACGTTCATCTAAGATAGTTCAGAAGACATTCAAAAGTAACATTCCCATAATGTTTGCAAAATGATACAATGTAACGTTCCCTTAATGTTGTCTGTAACATTCACACAACCAAGAAACAAAAGCTGGAGGATTTAGAGAAGATTCAGAAGTAGTGTTTTCATAAATATTAACGCTAGCAAACTCTTTTTAGAACATATTTCGTTAGCTGGATGTGAGTCGAGTTGTTTGGTAAGTTGTTGTGTTTCAGATAGGATGCTGTCTTTAAAGACAGAAAATCAGGTTTTCTGTGTTTGTGTCTCTTGTGTTGCTGTTACACGTGTTGTTTTCCACTAATCGAGCTGATTTTTGTTCAGCATCCTCTTTGAACAGTCTTCTGATCTAATCAGACGCTCCCAAATGATGTCTCCAAACACAATCGCACGCACCGCTATAAAACTACAATCACATGTCCTGAAGCTGTCATCGACTTCAATTGAGTTTGATCTTCAACCCTGAATGCAAAGCAAAGGTTTATTGCTGTTTTCATTGCAGTTGTTTGCTGCTCTTCCGGCCTGATGTCGGAGGTTCGTGACATAAAACAGCAGCGTAACGTCTTTAGAGGGATATTGAAGCTGTTCTTCAGAAATGACAGCTTAAACATGAAAGCGAGGTCAGATGCACATGTCGCAGAGACAGAGTTATTGTATTAGGTGTTTCTTTAAACACATTCACTTTTATATCACATATTTTATTATGATTTTTATTAAAACTTCCAGATTTCCACCTTTTTCTCTGTTATATGATCACATTAAAAGGTATTTTTTGTATGTAAAAATAGATTTTTTTTTTCACAATCCCAGACCTAAACTTTGAATCTTAAATAATAAATAAATAAATAAAATAATAATATAAAATTTTTCTTTATATTATTTTATTTGTATTATTTGTATTATTTTTTTTATATATTATTTCATATTATTATAATTACTGTATTATTTTTAAACTAAAATAATTCAAACAATGAGTGAAATAAATAAGCTATCTTAATGTTTGTTGTTTGGAAATGATTTCTGTCAGTATTGTCAAAATTATGTCTTCCAATTTTCCTGCTTCTTACTAATTTTACTACTTTACTCTGTCTAGACAACGGTGTCAATAAAGAGTTTGAGATGAAATATTAGACATGGTGTGTGGAGAAAACTGACAAATAAAGGTATATATATATTTTTTTATTGTTTATTCTTCTTCTTTTTTTTTTTTGCACAATTTTCAGTCTGTTTTTTTTTCCGGTTGTGAAAAACACGTGTAAATATTGTGTGTACTTAGGATCCATAACACAAAAAAGACCTAAAGACCTTATGCTATGAAATATATTTTTAGTTGTAAATAAAACGAAGATTATTGAAGTATATTACAGAAGAAGATACTACTTTTCTACTTCGCAATTTCAGATTTAATTCAGTGTCTTGCCGTTTCTTTGTAATTATTTGTGAAGCTTACTATCAATTTCTGAATCTTACATTTTTTTTATGAAATATTGAAATGAAAAATATTATGTAATGTTTGTTATATATATGAGAGTTGGCTGCTATTTGTCTCTTTTAAAATACATTGATCTTGCCATGAAAACAGCCATAGATGCTGGTTTGGCAATAAAAGCAAACAAATAAATAAATAAATAAAAAGATAATAATAATAAACCAATTTGGTGCAAAGTTATAGTGTAGCAGTAATTAGTGATTCTTTAAAATCTCTACTTAAGAAATTGTTAGGGATGATTCAGAGAAAAGATTATTTTATCAAAAAATATTTATTGTCAGTTTGTTTCTGTTTATTGATTTGTTTATTATTATTATTATTAGATAAATAATATTTAGCATCCTATAGAAAACCAAGCCTGTTTTGAGGACATTCACTTTTTTTTAAATTAAATATGTTTTATTTATTTTTAAATATTACATTTAATTGTAATGCACGTATTTAGACTGATGAATATTGTATATTGTGGATATTGATATATAAATTAAATAGAGAAAGTTGTGCTCTAAGACAGTTTACACAGCCCATAGAGACACCCATCAGCGTGTTTCAGAAAAAAGCCAAATTAAATTTACTCCATTGATCTGCCAGATAAAACATCCTTCATTCTCTCTGCTTCTTTCCTTGCTTTCTCTCAGTCTCTCTCTCTCTCTCTCTCTCTCTCTGTCTCTCTCTCTCTCTGTCTCAGTCTCTCTCTCTCTCGTTCTCAGACGCTGTAAGTCATGAGAGGATCAGAGTTCATGTTAATCATTGATCAGATCTTCGTCTTCCTGCACTCTCAGATCTTCAGTGTTTATGTGCGTCTCTCTCTTTCTCTCTCTCACTATGAGCTTCTGGTTTTCTTTTATTAATAATGCTTTGGTTTTCCAGCGGAGGACGGTGAGCGGATTTGTGCTCCTGTAGGTGGCTCACGATGTTTCGTGTCTGGTCTGTGTGCGTCTCTTTAGTGTTGATTTTATGGGGAATGTCTGAGAAAGTCCAGGGAAAAGCATCTAAACTGTGGCTGCAGCAGCTGAATGAGACGTTCCTGCAGACCGGTGTGTTTCCCAGCAGGTTTCTGTGGGGCGTTGGGACCGCGGCATTCCCGACCGAAGGGTCCTGGGATGCGGATGGGAAAGGCGAGTCGGTTTGGGATCGCTTTACTCGTCACTCGGATCCATCCAGCGATAGCTACATCCAATGGGAGGAGGATCTGGAGTCAGTTCAGTATCTAGGTGTGAACTTCTACGCTTTTTCTTTATCCTGGACACGGATTTTTCCGGACGGAAACGCGAAGGCACATCCCAACCCGGCCGGAGTGCAGCATTACCGCCGCTTGATCGGGAAGCTGAAGGAGCTTCAGGTGGAGCCGGTCGTGACTCTGTTTCACTGGGATTTGCCGCAGGTCCTGCAGGAGCGCTTTGGAGGCTGGCTCAACCGAAGCACGGCAGATGTTTTCGCAGATTACGCCGCGTTTTGCTTCCGAACGTTCGGAGCTGAGGTCCGCTACTGGATTACGATGCATAACCCGTTTCTCCTGGCCGTCCAGGGCTATGGGACCGGCGCACACGCTCCCGGAGTGACCGGAGACCCCGCTGACCCCTTCATCGCCGCACACAACCTCCTCAGGGTGAGTCTGGGGTCAGAGGTCAAAGGTCAGGTGTGAAAAGAGTGAATGCAGAAATAATGCAGCATGCGAGACTGTGTCAGGAGATATATTTAGGGATTCATGAGCCCGTGAGAGAAATTAAAATACAGTTACAGTTGCAAATACCTCTTGCACCAAAATCAACTGATTTTGTTTTACATAATGAAGATCAAGCATATGTTTAAAGACATTTATTTTTGAATTGACATTATTTTCATGAGAATTAAGCACATTTTAAATTTTTTCTTTTTTTGTTGTTATTTTAATTACATTTTTGAGGAGGGTTTTCAAAACAATGTTTACTAGTGATTTTAATTATATTTATAAATTGCAGTGTATTGCAGTTATTTCATAAGTTATTTTTTATAAATATAACTTATGTTTTCTATTTTTGATATTATTTTCTATTGATTTATATTTATTTAATTAGTATTTTTACTACTTTTGTTATTTATTTAAATACCACAGAGGCCATGCATTATTTTATGTATTTTATCTGATAATTTTGACATTAATAAAAGTTATTGGCAAAATTAAAACAAAACAAGACAGCAGTTATTCATGTTTTATCTTAAAAACAAGACAAACAATAACAGTAATGCTTCTATAAAATTATATAAATATATAATTTTATTTGTCTATACTTGCTCTACAAAATGTGATAAATAGCCTAATAAAGACATGAATTATTCTGCTTTAAGTGATTTGTATTTAATTTCCTAATAAAGAATGGTACAGTTATTACATACAGGGTGATTATGCTCAGATCTGACCAATAGAAATAAGTTTACTCCACAAGATTAATAATAAAAAAATTAATAATAATAAATTGAAGAACACAAAGAAGAATTAGCCTGTTTTTAAAGGATTCATTATTTTTATTTATTTATTTTTGCATTGACTTTAATGACAATAGGCACATTTTACGAATAAATCTTATTTTCATTACTTATTATATTTCTTTTAATTCTTAATAGTAATTTTGATTGCATTTAAAATTGTCTAAGAACACTACAGTAATGTGTCTACTGTGCATGTTTTATTTGTTTTTATTTTTTATTCTTAAACGTAATTTTAATTACATGATTCAGTGTAATACAATTACTTTTATACAAGTATTTAATAAATTAAATGTATACTTTTTTTTACTGTAATTTACTTTTATTATTATTATTTAAATCCCACAGAGGCTATGCATTATTTTTCTGTTTTTTTTTTTTCTCTTTATTTTGAGATTAGCAAAAGTGAATGGCAAAAATCTCAAGAAAAAAGGTTTTTCTTGTGTCGTCTCAAAAAACAAGACAGAAAATAATAGTAATGCTTCTGGACAAATTATAATGTATATCATTTTATTTCCATGTTTTTACTTGGTCTTCAAAATGAACCTACCAAATGTGATAAATAGCCTAATAAAGGCATGAACTCTTCTGCATTACGTCTAAGTCTACATATAATCGGGGGGATTCTACTCAAATCTGACCAATAGAAATACGTTTTGCTCCACAAGATCGTCTCTGCTTCTCCGTCCAATAGTCGAAGCAGCTTCAGTTCTGATCTGGGTTTGCTCTGGTGTCTCCACAGGCTCATGCGAAAGCGTGGCATGTTTACGACAAACACTTCAGACCCCATCAGCACGGTAAAGTCTCCATCACGCTCGGCTCTCATTGGGTGGAGCCTCTTCACGCCCAGGCCACGCCCACCAATCTGGAGCTCTGTCAGAAGGCCATGGAGGCTGTGATTGGCTGGTTCGCCGAGCCCATATATGGAAGTGGAGACTACCCCGAGTCGCTGAAGGCCTCGCACCGCGGCGTAATCCCAGAGTTCAGTGCGCAGGAGCGGCTCTGGATGAAGGGCACCGCAGACTTCTTCTCTCTGGCCTTCGGGCGGGAGACCCAGAGGGTGGGCCAAGGATTGGCCCGGTTCGGGCAGACAGTGAAGCTGGATCTGAGGAGCGTTCTGGTCTGGGTCCAGCAGACGTACGGTGATCCGCAGGTGCTGGTGGCAGAGAGCGGATGGTTCTCTGACGCTTCTGTCGGAGTCGAGGACACTGTGGCCATTTATCTGATGAAGAGGTTCATCATGCAAGTCATGCAAGGTGTGTGTGCATTTTAAATCCTGTTCACACCTGCTGTCGATATGCAACTCAAATGAAATTTTAATTAAAAATTTCATTTTGTATTTGCAAAAAAGTTTTTATTTATTTGTTGCAAATAAAAAATATGCTTTTATTATAAATAAACAATATGTATGTATTAATTTTTAGTGAATACATTAATAAAAATTATTTATTTGTTTCTGAATAAATATATTTTACATTTACATTTAGACATTTAGCACTTTGGAGGCTGGCTCAACCGAAGCACGGCAGATGTTTTCGCAGATTACGCCGCGTTTTGCTTCCGAACGTTCGGAGCTGAGGTCCGCTACTGGATTACGATGCATAACCCGTTTCTCCTGGCCGTCCAGGGCTATGGGACCGGCGCACACGCTCCCGGAGTGACCGGAGACCCCGCTGACCCCTTCATCGCCGCACACAACCTCCTCAGGGTGAGTCTGGGGTCAGAGGTCAAAGGTCAGGTGTGAAAAGAGTGAATGCAGAAATAATGCAGCATGCGAGACTGTGTCAGGAGATATATTTAGGGATTCATGAGCCCGTGAGAGAAATTAAAATACAGTTACAGTTGCAAATACCTCTTGCACCAAAATCAACTGATTTTGTTTTACATAATGAAGATCAAGCATATGTTTAAAGACATTTATTTTTGAATTGACATTATTTTCATGAGAATTAAGCACATTTTAAATTTTTTCTTTTTTTGTTGTTATTTTAATTACATTTTTGAGGAGGGTTTTCAAAACAATGTTTACTAGTGATTTTAATTATATTTATAAATTGCAGTGTATTGCAGTTATTTCATAAGTTATTTTTTATAAATATAACTTATGTTTTCTATTTTTGATATTATTTTCTATTGATTTATATTTATTTAATTAGTATTTTTACTACTTTTGTTATTTATTTAAATACCACAGAGGCCATGCATTATTTTATGTATTTTATCTGATAATTTTGACATTAATAAAAGTTATTGGCAAAATTAAAACAAAACAAGACAGCAGTTATTCATGTTTTATCTTAAAAACAAGACAAACAATAACAGTAATGCTTCTATAAAATTATATAAATATATAATTTTATTTGTCTATACTTGCTCTACAAAATGTGATAAATAGCCTAATAAAGACATGAATTATTCTGCTTTAAGTGATTTGTATTTAATTTCCTAATAAAGAATGGTACAGTTATTACATACAGGGTGATTATGCTCAGATCTGACCAATAGAAATAAGTTTACTCCACAAGATTAATAATAAAAAAATTAATAATAATAAATTGAAGAACACAAAGAAGAATTAGCCTGTTTTTAAAGGATTCATTATTTTTATTTATTTATTTTTGCATTGACTTTAATGACAATAGGCACATTTTACGAATAAATCTTATTTTCATTACTTATTATATTTCTTTTAATTCTTAATAGTAATTTTGATTGCATTTAAAATTGTCTAAGAACACTACAGTAATGTGTCTACTGTGCATGTTTTATTTGTTTTTATTTTTTATTCTTAAACGTAATTTTAATTACATGATTCAGTGTAATACAATTACTTTTATACAAGTATTTAATAAATTAAATGTATACTTTTTTTTACTGTAATTTACTTTTATTATTATTATTTAAATCCCACAGAGGCTATGCATTATTTTTCTGTTTTTTTTTTTTCTCTTTATTTTGAGATTAGCAAAAGTGAATGGCAAAAATCTCAAGAAAAAAGGTTTTTCTTGTGTCGTCTCAAAAAACAAGACAGAAAATAATAGTAATGCTTCTGGACAAATTATAATGTATATCATTTTATTTCCATGTTTTTACTTGGTCTTCAAAATGAACCTACCAAATGTGATAAATAGCCTAATAAAGGCATGAACTCTTCTGCATTACGTCTAAGTCTACATATAATCGGGGGGATTCTACTCAAATCTGACCAATAGAAATACGTTTTGCTCCACAAGATCGTCTCTGCTTCTCCGTCCAATAGTCGAAGCAGCTTCAGTTCTGATCTGGGTTTGCTCTGGTGTCTCCACAGGCTCATGCGAAAGCGTGGCATGTTTACGACAAACACTTCAGACCCCATCAGCACGGTAAAGTCTCCATCACGCTCGGCTCTCATTGGGTGGAGCCTCTTCACGCCCAGGCCACGCCCACCAATCTGGAGCTCTGTCAGAAGGCCATGGAGGCTGTGATTGGCTGGTTCGCCGAGCCCATATATGGAAGTGGAGACTACCCCGAGTCGCTGAAGGCCTCGCACCGCGGCGTAATCCCAGAGTTCAGTGCGCAGGAGCGGCTCTGGATGAAGGGCACCGCAGACTTCTTCTCTCTGGCCTTCGGGCGGGAGACCCAGAGGGTGGGCCAAGGATTGGCCCGGTTCGGGCAGACAGTGAAGCTGGATCTGAGGAGCGTTCTGGTCTGGGTCCAGCAGACGTACGGTGATCCGCAGGTGCTGGTGGCAGAGAGCGGATGGTTCTCTGACGCTTCTGTCGGAGTCGAGGACACTGTGGCCATTTATCTGATGAAGAGGTTCATCATGCAAGTCATGCAAGGTGTGTGTGCATTTTAAATCCTGTTCACACCTGCTGTCGATATGCAACTCAAATGAAATTTTAATTAAAAATTTCATTTTGTATTTGCAAAAAAGTTTTTATTTATTTGTTGCAAATAAAAAATATGCATTTATTATAAATAAACAATATGTATAAATTTTTAGTGAATACATTAATACAAATTATTTATTTGTTTCTGAATAAATATATTTTACATTTACATTTAGACATTTAGCAGACGTTTTTATCCAAAGCGACTTACAAATGAGCAGTTCTCTAAAAGAGATGGGATATGGGTGGGTTTCTTAAGTAGTGGGGTTATACGAGCCTGTCTAAATGCTGATGGAAAAACACCAGTGTGAAGGGATATGTTAATGATGTGAGTGAGTGCAGGT